CAGGAATGAAATATAATGAAGTCCATTGTTCCTGCCTTCCTTAACCTTCCTTTCTCTACTATGCGGCCTTCTCTGCTTATCATTTTAAACCCTCTCCAAGTATCACTCACATCTTTTGCTTATACCAATAAAGTAAGAGCATGCCAAATAACCCATTATAGGAATTCACATACTATCCCTGCCTGTCTTTCCATACTTTCTGGTTCCACATTGCATTACCCAGTTATTAGATGAGGGATGCTGTGGTCTGAGTGACCTTGCCAAAATTCATATTGGGATTTAATTACCTTTGTGATGGTGTTAAGAGGCAAGACCTTAAAGAGGGATAAGGTCAAGAGGGCTCTGCTCTTACAAATGGATTAATGCCATTATCATGGAATGGGTCAGTTATTATGAGAGTGAGCTCCTGATAAAAAATCAGTTAAGCCCTAATTTTCTGTCTCCCTCTTGTGCTTCCTCACCATATGATACGCTCCCAACCATGTCATGAGACATCAAGAAGATCCTCACTAGATGCAGCCCCTTAATCTTGGGCTTCCCAACCTCCAGAACCATGAGCCAAGTACATTTCTGTGCGTTGTATGTTACCCAGTCTTTGTATTCTTTTAGAGTAGTAGAAAGTGGACTAAAACTAGGGTAAGTGCTATCCTAGAAAAAATACTAGATGGTAAATTCAGAGAATGGAGTTTGGCTGCTGTATTTTTTCCAATAACTACTGAATGAACTGAGCTCAATCACATACATTTAGTAGGCCTTACTTCTGGGTTTACTTCAGCTCTATGATTAGCATTTGTTTTTAATATTTTATTATTAAGGTAAGCATATTCTTTATATCTCTGAGAATGAAGGGACTACCCGATCCTTGCTAAATAACTGTAGAGCATATGTTTGAATGCCCAGTGGTGGGGAACTACTCACTGCTTCACTGCAGTATTCATGGTTGAACATTCTTGCTGGTCCCTTTGTTGAAATGTGTGTCCTTATAAGGCAGGAGATAGGGATATTAAATATACACATGGGGTAAAGGCCCAAGATAGAGACACAGCAAGCTTTACCCAAGATAGAGTCATAATTGCTTAGTTTTTTAAAAGAACTGGCTACATTGGGGTTTAAAACGCTATAACCAAGGGCAACAGTTTCTATTTTGCTAACTATTACATTGTAGCAAGAAGTACAGATTGACAGGGTCTGCTGACCCCACAAAGAATGGGATAATAAATCACTCAGACTGCCATGTAACTATTTTCTAAAGCCTTCCTTTTTATCAGAGAGCCAGCCCATAGCTCTGACTGTGGAAAGCCCCAAGTTAGCAACCCACTTTTGCGGACTTCCCTCTCTGTTGGGACGTATCTCCTTCAATATATCTCACTCTGCTATCCTCTTGTTTGTCCTCATTCTAATTCTTCATGAGCTGAAACAAATAATCAGATTCATTGCTGTTCCTACATTTGATATTAGACCTGATCACCCCAATGTCCTCCCGTCACTTATGGTAGGTAGCTATGGTGTTGCTAGAAACACCACTGGATTTAAACTCCCAAGTGGTGTGGACAAATCCTAGTTTTATGACTTCCCAGCTATGTGTTCTTGAAGAAGCACAGAACCACTCCAAGTATGAGTTTGCACAACTCTGAAAGAGGAAAGTCATAATAATAGGACCTTAGCTTAGTATTATTAATACAAATATAGTGACTATTAAAACAACTCTGAATCTAGTATTAACAGTTGTTGAAAGTCATAATAATAGGACCTTAGCTTAGTATTATTAATACAAATACAGTGACTATTAAAACGACTCCGAATCTGGTATTAACAGTTGTTGAATACAGAACAGCCTAGTTCCCTTTTTCATATGCAGCCTTGTTCCCTTTTCACATGCAGCCATGTCTACATCTGAAGCCAGTATGTGCCTTCTTACATTTGTCCTTTATTCACATTCTCCTTATCGCCTCTGCACTCTCATCTAAATGTACATAGTGCTTAGTAAAGTATGGCATCTCGAACTAAGTCCAATATTCCAAGTATATAAAGAAGAGGGGACCAGCAGTTAGCGTAATGGCTATGTCTCTGGACTCCCACATAGTCAACCGTGGTTCGGATCCTGGACCCAGTGGCTTAAACTCATGCCGGGTGCGTGTGCATGTGTGCCCAAGATCCTGAGAGGAGAATGGAGGAGAAGGGATTGTGGTGTGGCCATCCCCACGGAGGGGGATTTCTCACTTTCTGTCTCTCTGTCTCTGTCTGTCGGGCGAGCGCAAGCGCCCTATGGTAAAAACCTATCCAAAAAAACAAAGAGTACAGTATTTTTGCATTCTAGTGATATTTCAAAATTTAACTTGATATCATATTATGTTTCTAACACCCTGTACTGTTCCTAAATATTATGTTATTGCCAACACAAAAGTAATCCCCCATTTTTTAAATGTTTAATATATATGCAGATATGAAACCATATTCCTCCAACCTGTATTTTGCAATTTGTTTTTGGAAACGGAATGCAGATATGTGCATTTATTCCTCTTAAATATCACTTTTGAAGTTATGTGCTAGAAGTCTCTGCCAGCTAGAAATCAATATGAAATGAGAATAACATTTAAAAACATTCAAGGTAGGGAAAAAGAACCCAAAGGCACTTTAAGCAACAAATTTCTAAATTCCTGATTGCTCCTCTACAACTTCCCTTGGGCTTTTTGTTAAAACCACATTTAAATGTCATCTAAAATTATAAAATGAGTATGTCATACTCAATTTAGTTTATTTATTTATTTTTTATATATATATATTTTTGGAGAGGTTTTTGCTATAGGGTGCGTGCACTCGCCAGACAGACAGAGAGAGACAGAGAGACAGAAAGCGAGAAATCATCCCCCAGGGGGGATGGCCACACCACAGTCCCTTCTCCTCCATTCTCCTCTCAGGATCTTGGGCACGCACGCACACTCGCCCAGCGTGAGTTTAAGCCACCGGGTCCAGAACTAGAACCGTGGTCGATTATGTGGGAATCCAGCGACATAGTCATTACGCTAGCTGCTAGTTCCCACTCATTTTATTTTATTTCTATAAGTTAGTATTGAAACCACATTTTATGGATGTGTTTCATGTATTGCTGACTT